TTCCTGCTTTCAAGAGGACAGTAGCAGCAGCAGCATTTTATAGGAAAAAGAGTTCTAGGTCACACTCTCTCCTCCAGATTGTACTACTTTTCCTCTCCTCTGAATATAGAAAAATGTTCTGAAGCTGGGGCCACACATGAGGAGAGATGTGAGTGCACTCCGCTCTAACACTGACAGAAGTTCAGGCGAGGCCCTTTTCTCCTTGCTTGAGAAACAGAGGCTGAAGTGAAGAATCCCTTAGAAATATCCACTGCCTCGCACCCAAAATCCTTTCAAGGGAAAAACAATGAATCTTTACCTGAAAAGAAATTCCAGGATACTAATATCAGTTTACAGTATCCATTTTATGGGAGGAAACTATAAACAAATAGTTTCTATACTTAGTTACCACCAGCAGTGTCATTTTTGGAGGTAAAGGTTATTTTAGTGGATAGAAAATCTGTCTTTTTACATGCCTTAAAAGAGGGACTGGCAAACCACTGCCTCATGGCCGGCTGCCTGTTTCTATAAATATGGTTTCAGTAGAACAGTCTTGCCCATTTATTTGTATTGCCTATGGCAACTTCCATTCAGCAGAGTTTAGCAGTTTCAACAGACACCATATGTGGCCTAAAGCCTAAAATCTGGCCTTATAAGAAAAGCTTGCCAACCCCTGCATTAAAATATTACCATGCTATACTAAGGCTAAGTAAAACTTCAGAAAACTAAGATGGAATACAAAAATACAAATGACATGCTTGCTCTGATTCAGGCACTTTCAAGATCATAGTTTATTTTATTACTTCAGTTAAAAAGGTAGTATACAGATTAGAGAATCCCTTAAAATTCAACTCTAGAGTTATACACCATCTAGTACTTTTGCATTGACTGTTAACCAAAAAAATCTCTAAACACCTGAAAGCCCCACTATTAACATGAACTACAGTAATACAAAATTTGACGTTTTTTCAATATATAGTATTTACATTATGAAACCAATGGTGATATGATAAACAGTGATAAAGAAATAGTAAAAATAAACTTTAAAAAGCAAAGGTTTATATTCTTACAATGTGCTAATTATCATAATTGTATATAAAAATTAAAACATAGCAGAGCTTCTGTTACAAAATTCTTAATCATCTGAATTGTAGTCATCACTTGCTAACAATTTACATGCAAAATCTGCTAGGACTGACATTTAATTTTTTTCCCCAAGAAAGTGTGAGTCGATAAATGACATTTAAGAGCAGACATTAATTTACTTATGGTCAAAAAAAGAAAAAACTGTACTCAAGATTAGTACTGGTCACAAGCCTCTTCCCTACAGAAATGATAAAAACAGTAAGACTCAAAAATCATTCCAAAAAGGAGATGCATAGGCAAAGAGTGCCATGAATGGCACAGCTAAAAAAATATCAGGACCAGACACACCTCTCTCTCCTTCAATGATGAGGGGTCTATTTTGCCATCAAATAATGACTAAAGCAAGTGAGGGGCACCAGGTGTGCAACTAATTAAATCTTGCAAAATACTAAGATGGAGGTGGGGTGGCCAGAAGGGGCAATTTATATATAATTCAAACTATATACAGCATAACTGGAATGCAGCCTATCCCAAACTGGCTTTGTGAAACGACTGGACCTTTGTGATTTAATAGTTAAAATTATAACAAGTCTTATAATAGATTCGTATGGGAAGCAAAATCCAAGGGGCATTTTATATTATTTACTGTGTTGTTTCAATTTAAAAATAATTTTGCTAAGTATACATCTCAACTGAGGTCTATGTATAAAATGTCCTAATAGATAAAGATATTTACCTTTGGTGAGTTAAAGGCCTTTTTGTGACTTCCGTCTGAACTGTAGGCAGAATATGAGATGTGCATGCACATGTGGGAACAACTCAACCTGAGGTAATCCAAAAGATGTGCATGTAAGGAGACTGGAGGTACTTTGAAAGTCAAAGCATACCAGAAACCCCAAACAGGTAATGGTGAGAATGGCAACAAGGAATGGAATGCCAATATGGCAGTAAAACTTTTTTTAAAACAGAAAGAGGAAGGCCTCTCGTACCAGCAGAATCCTGCATACATATATATATATTTTTAAAAAGCCACTTACTATTTCATAAAATAAAAGCCAATTATAGTGTGGGAAAATACAAACTGCAGAAAACCAGAAGTCAATAGAAGAAAAACTACTGGTTTACATGAGAGGAAGGAGAATACTTCATTCTGAGCAGAGTTACTTGGTGAATGCTGCCACCACCGCCCACAGAACCTCGTTGGTGTTGGCCTTCAGACATTCCACTTCAGGATCTAAGTCAAGGAGCTGCCGCACTCTCTTCGTAGCTAAATCATACTGCTCATCCAGAAGCGGAGCAAAAGCATTCTCCAGAACATCGGAGGCATGGGCTAGGTAAATGAGGGCCAGCAAGCGCTTGTCCATGCGGTGAGGGTCATTCACCCATTTGTCAAGAACAGCTTCCTGAACCTTCTTGATGAGGCGCTGCTTAATGTTGTTGTTGGTGAGGGGATGTGTCGTCATGTCAAAAAGTAGAAAGTTCTGTTTCTCTGTTGTTAGTACACCCTTTTCTACCAGGTTTTTAGCTAATCGTTCCCGCACATTTCTTAACTGATAATGCAGTTTTAATGGATTCCACGTCTCACCTAAACAAAAGATTTCAGAAGTTAGAAATGATAGGTATTGACTTCAGGTCAAGAGGGTGGAGGAAGAAATGCTGTACTTGCCTCCTCCCAAGACCACATCAAAATTACAACTTAATAATAGAACAACTATCGTTGAAGACTTGAACAGAAGTCTTCTAACTAAGGATATATAGAAGGCAGCACAACAAGACTAGTAAGAGGGGTGGAGACGTGGAATGAGCTGGTCCCCCACACTGTGTGCTGACTGAGAATCAGGAGGGATGTATTTTGGCTGTGGCGGTCCCTCCTGAGGAGTGAGAGGTCCCAGTCGACACCAGTATCTCCAGCCCAGAGCACCAGTGCTGGGAAGAGGAATCCCCAAAACTTCTGGCTGTGAAAATCAGCAGGGATTACATCCGAATGAAGACAGAGGGCTGCTGGAGTCCCAGACATTTCTCTTAAGGTCTGCGCACAGACTTGCTTTCTCAAACACTCACTCACTCTGAACTCCAGAGACAGCAGCTCAGAAAGTGCCAGGGACATAAAGGGAGGAACTAGGGGCAAGGCTCTCTCTGAAGACAAAAGGATTGGCAGGCGCCAATGTTCCTTTGTTGAGCCCTAATCTCAGCCAGCCAGACCAGAGCAGGTGAACACCAAATCTGAGCTCTCCATTACCTGCTAACACTGTTCGCCCTGCCCTGGTGAGTCCCTGAGACTCCACCCAACCAACACACACATCTAGAAGCTCTTCCACCAGCTCCTATACACAAGCGTGCCTCAGCTCATACTGTGGACTTTCCTAAAATCTCTCAAAGGTTCACAAACCCCAAACAAGCTGCAGCTGGCCTCAGTGTGCCCTGTACCACTTGCTAAGCTACCCCAAAGCCTGGCACAAGCAGCAACAGGTCTCAAATTGCATTATACCTATCATCAAGTAGCCCCAACTCTGACATATACAGCAGCCGGCCTTGGCTTAGAATGTAGCCTCAACTAAGCAGCCACAAACCCAATGAGTGTGGCAGCTGGCCTCAGTTCACATCAGGGTGCCCCTAAAAGGGTCCTAAAGCCTAGCTCTAGT